ATATATATATGATGTTGGTGTGACATATTTTTTATTTAATTTATCATTAAAAATATATCTAGCCGGGCCCATGGCTCACACTACCCAGCACTCCGGAAGCAGAGGCAGGAGGATCGCCATGAGTTCGAAGCTACGCTGGGCTAGCTACACAATGAGTTCAGGGCCAGCCTGGACTACATAGCGTGACCCTGTCTCAGGAAAACCAAGATAAATAAATAAGTAAATCTACTTGAGGCAGCTGAAAGCAGGAGAAGCGATTTCTCTTTGGAGGAAATGGGGTGGGTGGTGGTGGGAACAGAACTGCCCAGGGTTAGGAAGTTGTCAGAGGACAGATTCAAGTGTGAAGCTGAAGTGGACTGAACAATTCTCCCCTGAAAGCGAAAGGGGTGAGAGAGGGTGGAGGACAAACTCATTTGTCCTATTTCAGATTTCTACCTGCTGGCTTTGCAATTTAATATGCAAGTCTGTGGGGAACGTGGTAAGCCACATTCTCTTTCCTGTGAAATAACCATTAATGGAAGTCGAAAGCCTCAGAATGGAGAATTATCTACATTAAGCCTCCCAGCCCCTGATGGGTTACAGTAGCCCGTTCCTCCGTTTTACTCTCTTAGATCTGATGCATTTCATATTAATCTCTTGGGGCCTATAAAAAGCTGGAGTAATTGCGCGATATGCATTTTCATCTAAGTGCTGTGCAATTTATGAAAGTTGATGGTAACGTACCGAGGTTAGAAGTAGCATGTTGTGGCCAGACTTCAGAGTCTGTTCTCACAGGGATAAAGCAATTCCCACGGACATCGTGCCGCTTGGTCTATACCGAGCTCGGCCCTCCCGAAGGAAACCTTTGTGTTCGTTAGTGTGCGTTTTAGTGTGCGAGGTGTTATTTTTCAAACGCCACTTTTGAATATCAGAATCTTTCTTAGAAATTGTCGCATATGAGATTATACAATTGAAACATTTGGTCAATGCCTCCCTGAAAATGTAGCCAAGGGTACTCTGCTGCAAAATTCGGAAAATAAATATGTGAATGATGTGCGTAGTAGAGAACACTTCGTTTTCCATTTCTTTATCTCCTCCGTGAAGCACCCCTCAAGCACCCCGAGCTGTCAGAGAAGGCTGTGAATTTGATGAGCTGTAATCACAACCCCAGTAAAACCCCAGGGACTTTCGGTGTAGTTCCTGACCTTCTTATAAATGCGCACTCCGTTTTCATTCAGGAAAGCCACTTGCTACCCTCCCTAGCGAGGCTGAGAGTTGCTCTGCACAATTTTACATTTTGGGGGGTAAATAACAGTTGGGAGGAAGTCTTAAGTGGAAGGAAGAACTCCTGTCGCTGGTAGATTAAGGAGTTGTGGACTGGCGGGAACCACGCAGAGCGAGACTTGGGATATCTGGGTCACAGGGCTGACTTTGCTGTGTTTCTGTCTAGTTTTTAGTTGTGTTTAAAGGTGGCCTCCGCAGCTCGTCCAAGTGAGTTGCCCCATGTTCACACGCTGCTGAGCCTGACTATCCAGGCCATGCTGGGACAGAAGGACGATTCCAGCAAGGGCTCAAGGCTCAAGCCTGATGCTGCCAAAAAGTGTGTACTGCAGACTCTTGTGATTAGCAGGGCTTTGTGGTCAAAGAAATTCGGGGGCTGCAACATTGCATCTCCACATCGAGACCCACGGTCCACGGTAGCTTATCACAGCCTCTGAAAGTCCTGCACACAGGACACCCACATAACTTTTAGCTTTGAGTCAGCGTTTCCACAACTAATTGGGGCAAGGACTTTCTTTTCTGTTTTTTTTTAATTATGTATTCCACGGACCAGGTTAATTCTAAGGAAGAGCCTGGAAAGAAACTGCAGCTTTTATGCATTACTTTTTGAATGAAATGTTTTGCTGTGGCCCACTGTTTGAACAAGGAACAACTAGGGATGATCGTTCCTACTTCATCAAAGTTATAAGGTCAATCTGCGTGTTAGAAGGCAATTGGAAGTGTGTGGGGGAAAGATGAAAGACCTTCAGACTGGGGAAATTATCCCCCACCCACCGCCGTTTTGCCGAATCCCTTCGGGCTTGCTGTTCTGTCACTCTAGAGCTTTGTTTAGCGACCGGATCATTCTTAAAACGCCCGAAGTCCAGGCCGAACCTGGTTCACTGTTACTGAAAAAATAGGTTCCTAGGTTCCTCGGAAGGAGCTAATGTCCTAAAAATGACTTCTCTGGAACTTCTTCCAGTCTGTCTCTTTATTCTCATTTCTCCCCTTCCTCCCCTCCTGTCTTCCCTCTTCTCCCCACACCCCGACCTCCCGTATCAGAATTTATTCTGTAGTAACGATTTATTCTTTTTTTTTACTCAGTTTTCCCTCCTGTGAAACATCTCTTC